ACTAATTACAATTATTCCACTTTAGCGTATTTAATAAATGTAATTACAATCATTGTTTTCATTGGTTTGTAATTAAACATTTGAAAATGTATTATACAAATATATATGTTTTTTTTTGTTTGTTTGTCCGCATTGTACAATTATGTAAGCAGTAATAACAAATATAATTTATATATGGAATAAGTATTGGTGATATTAGAGATGAAATTTTCTCGATTACTAAATACAATAAATCCAATATTAAACATTTAAATTAAAGTTGAAACTATACAGATTAAAATGAGCGTATAAAAATAATTGCACTTCTCATGTATTTCTGATATAATAAACTCTGAAAATTGTACTTACAAAATAGAAATTTACAGAAATACAGTGTATTTATATTTACTGTTATAACTCGATTATTAAATCCGGCACAATTAACATTAAATTAAGTTAAAACTACAGGAATTAAAATTAGTGTATATAAATAGTTGCTGCACCTATTGCGTACTTCTTGTAAAAAGGTCGGAAACTTTGAACTTATGAAATATTCAGTTGAAGAATGTTTACATTTTCCTCTACTTTTCTATTAAGTTGTGTCTTTACATTTTTCTATATTACCCGATTACTAAATGCAACATAATCAATATTGAATATTAAAATTAAAGTTAAAACTATAGAGAATAAAACGACTATGTAGAAATAGTTGAATCTCTCGTCTACTGAAATTTGAACTTACGAAATATTCGGTTGAAGAAAAGCAACATCTTTAGATTTTCTTATATTACTCGATTACTAAATACAGTATAATTAATATTGAATACTCAAATTAAAGATAGAACTATAAGCTTTAAAATAAGCATACGGTTATTATTGTACTTTTTCAGAGTTTTTTTTTGTAATAAACTTACAAACTTAACTAATCAACTATTATGAAGATCACTAATTTTCTCGATTACTAAATACAACAAATTCAATATTAAACATTTAAATTAAAGTTGAAACTATACAGATTAAAATGAGTGTATAGAAATAATTGCACTTCTCATGTATTTCTGAAATAATAAACTCTGAAAATTGTACTTACGAAATAGAAATTTTCAGAAATGCAGTGTATTTACATTTTCTGTTATTACTCGATTAATAAATACAGCACAATTAATATTAAACACTAGAATTAAAGTTAAAATCACATAGATTATAATGAGTATAATTAATGATTTGTATCTCTTTTAAAAAGCTTTCAAACTTGAACATATAAAATATTAAGTTGTGTCTTTAGACTTTTCTCTATTACCCGATTACTAAATGCAACATAATCAATATTGAATATTAAA